GCCATCTTTGGAGAGACCAAGTTGGGGAAGGATCAGAGCAGCCACGGATGTCTGACAGAACCTCAGAGATAAAGGTGTGGACATTCATTTTTTTTGTATCTGTTCATTAATCTCTCGCTGTGTGTGCACCTCCATTCTTGTGACTAGAGGGGGTGTCTGAGCAAGTGGACACCAAATCTCCAATCCTGGATAGTTCTACTGTGCATGCACACAGATCTCAAAATATAAAGTGCAGCTTCCACTTAAAAACCAAATGGCACTGCAAAACGGCCACAGCTAGCCCTGAACTGTTTATCACTAGGAAAAAGGCATGAATGGAGATTGTGGAGTGGGATGGACAGATTTTTTAAAAAGGTAATAGGCTGAAAATTAAATCCTGAGTTACACCACAACAACAAACAGCATCTGGAAATTTCTCAGGAAGAAGAGTGAAAAGGGAAACCCATCTCCTGATCACATCTACCTGGAGGCAATCAGAAAGCATAAAAAATACCAAAACATGTTGTTGTTGTTGTCAGGTGCCATCGAGTCGGAACTGACTTATAGCGACCCCATGCACAGCAGAACGAAACAATTTCCGATCCTGGGCCAACCTCACTACCGCTGTCACACTTGAGACCATCAATGATGCCACCTGGCTGATCCATCTCATTGGGGGTCTTCCTCTTTGTCTCTGACCCTCCATTTACCCAGCATGACATCCTTCTCCAGCGACTGTTCTCTCCTGACAATATGTCCAAAGTATGAGAGATGAAGCTTAGCCATCCTGGCCTCCAAGGAGCACTCTGGCTGCACTTCTTCCAAAACAGATCTATTGGTTCTTTTGGCAGTCCATGGCACTTTTAGTATTCTCCTCCAACACCACAACTCAAAGGCATCAATTCGTCTATGGTCTTCCTTATTCACTGTCCAGCTTTCACATCCATATGAGGTTATTGAAAATACCATGGCTTGGGTTAGGCACACCTTAGTCCTTAAGCTGACATCTCTGCTCTTCAACACTTTAAAAAAGTTCCTGTGCAGCAGATTTGCCCAATGCAATACATCGTCTGATCTCTTGACTGCTGCTTCCGCGAGTGCTGACAGTTGATCCAAGAAGAATGAAGTCCTTGACAACTTCAATCTTTTCTCCGTTGATAAGAATGTTGTTTATTGGTCCAGTGGTGAGGATTTTTGTTTTTCTGACATTGAGATGCAACCCATACCGAAGGCTGTGTTCTTTGATCTTCATCAGTAATTGTTTCAAGTCCTCTTCACTTTCAGCAAGCAAGGTTGTATCATCTGCATATCGCAGGTTGTTAATGAGTCTTCCTCCAATCCTGATGCCATGTTTTTCTTCATAGAACCCAGCTTCTCATATTATTTGCTCAGCATACAGGTTGAATAAGTATGGTGAAAGAACACAACCTTGTCGCACACCTTTCCCAATTTTAAAACATTCGGTGTTCTATGCTCTTTTCTAACAACTGCTTCTTGGTCTAGGTACAGATTTCTCAGAAGTACAATTAAGTGTTCTGGAATACTCATACTTCTCAATGTTGTCCATAGCTTGTCATGATCCACACAATCGAAAGCCTACCAAAACATACACCCATCTAAATCTAAATATTCAGGCCACAGATAAAAACAATACCAAAATACCATAAAAAAATACCAAAACACACACCCATCTAAATCTAAATATTAAGGCCACAGATAACTCCTGAATATGCCCAAAACACAGAAATAGATGACCATATCAGCACAAGTCCAAAAAACGAGATTAAGTGACTGAGGCAAATGAGCTGGAAGTACTGGAAGATAGTCAGGCTTTGGAAATGTTGGAGAAGGAATTCAGAAAAATAATTAAAAAATGTATCAAAACACTATACAATGGAGTTGAGAAAAATAAGGAAGAAGTCAGGAAAGCACTACAGGAACAATCCAATAAGACAGACACAGCACTGGAAACAATTCAAAACCTAAAGAAAGAGGTCCAAATGACTAATAATAGAATATTAGAAATGGACAATACTCTGAAAGGCTACAGGAGTAGAATTGAAGAGACAGAAGCCAGAGCTAGTGAGCTGGAAGATAAATCACTCAACACTACTAAGATAGAAGACCAAGCAGAAAAAAGATAAGAAAATCTGAAGAAGGCCCAAGATTCATCTTGGACAACATGAAGAGGAATAACTTAAGAGTTATCGGCATTCTAGAACAAGAAGAATCACACAAGTTTACAGATGAGATGGTTGAAGAGCTTCTGGGAGAAAATTTCCTTAACATCCTGAAAAGCGAAAAGATAAGCATTCAAGAAGCTCAACAAACCCCAGGAAGGATAAACCCTAAAAGAAAATCACCAAGACATATAATAATCAAGCTCGCCAAAATCAAAGATAAGGACTGAATCCTGAAAGCAGCTTGGGAAAAGAGAAATGTTACACACAAAGGCAAGCAAATCAGATTAAGCTCGGATCACTCAACAGAAACCATGCAGGCAAGAAGGCAATGGGAGACATATATATAAAACCCTGAAAGACAAAAATCCAAGAATCCTCTACCCAGCAAAGATGTCAATCAAATACAATGGTGTAATCAAAACATTGTAGGATAAACAGAAGCTAAGGGATTTTGCCAAAGCCAACCCTGCTATGAAAAACATCCTAATGGAAGTTCTGTGGACTGAGAACCAACAAGAACGACAACCAGAGAATGATGTACATGACAAATGGAAGAGTCAAGAACAGAATAAAAATGATAAGAACAGAAGATCTGGTAGGTCAGTCTATGATCAAAACAACTACATTATGAAACAAGGTAAACACAAAGGAACAGAGATCCATGTGGTGGATTACAAGTAGACTACAGAATAAAACAGACTGTCTTAAATGGAGGGAAGAGTTACTAGAATATAAGGTAACCACAACAGTGGGGTTGGGGTGGGGGGATGTTGGAGAGGGCAATACAAGAAGGGGGAGGAGGTGGAGGAACAAGACAGATAGGGGAACACTGAGACAGGTTTGCATGTCCTAAGTGGGACAGAGGTAAATAGTGATGCATGCTTAACCTTGGAATAACAGGGCTCTGTGATACAGTGATCTAGACATAGTTTGAATAGGGAAAATAATACTAAAATGCCTGACTGTCTTATGAATATTGGTTACCCTTGTCTACTACTGTAAAACAGACAGTTGAGTGGGATAGAAAGGAATTTTGAAAAACATGATGACAAAAACGTGTAAGCCCATCTTCAGACTATAACTGACTGGAATACCTAAAAGTGGTTCTAGAACTTGCCCAGTGAAATGGCCTCTAGCAAACCCTTTGCAGAGTATAGGACCTTAGGTGGACTCTTGAGTCCCATCCAGAACTTTATGAGGTGGGACATTGCCACTAACAAGGACAAGCAGATTAGCCCTGAACAGCTAGAGCAACAGAAAATACATCTTCAAAGAAAGACCTTCAGGAAAAACCCAAAACAAAAACGTCAGCATGCCTGGCTACTACAAGAATAAGCAAGCTGTTTGCAAGGAAGCCATCAAAGCAAGCTATCAAGTTCCTCCAGGACAAACTCCCATCTAACAATGAAACTCAAAGCGAACACATAAGGCATGTGAGCTTGCTGGCAACCACATTGGTCTACTGGTGAGTGGAATCAGTAATGAAGAAATGGGCTGAGTTCAACCACGTTCCATTGACTCCTGTTGACCTGGAGATGAGAGAGAGAAAAGGAAGGGCTGGTTGATCCAAAGTGTGTTGAGACCTGGGGACACTTAAGCCCATTTTCAAAGACATAGCCACAGAGGGCTAGAGCTAGGAGTGAAGCATCCAGCTGATATGAAGTGAGGGGAGATGCACAAGAACACCCAAACTTGCAGACAGTACCCATTTGATCTAGCCTTGATGGCTTGATAATCAGAACTCGACTAAAGGACGATGAAAAACAAATTTTTTTTTTTTCTGAATAAAGGAAACAAGAGTAAAATTGCCATAATTTCATGAACCTGACCTACATGCATGGAGGTTGTTGTTGTTGTTATGTGCCGTGGAGTCGGTTCTGACACCTAGCGACCCTGTATAGAGTTTCCGAGGCCATAAATCTTTACGGGAGCAGAACGCCTCCTCTTTCTACCGCGGAGCAGCTGGTAGTTTCGAACTGCTGACCTTGCGGTTCGCAGCCCTATTTGTAACCATTATGCTACCAGAGCTAGTAGCTCTAAATACCCACAGAGAGGGAAGGAGTCTTCACATCAAGTAGTAATGCTATCCCCTCTATAAACAGGGCAGATAGAGAACCGGCAACTTAGACATTGGATACCTAAAATTAGGGGGTGATAAAGACATGAAGTAACTGGCTTACAAGGTTTCAAGACGGAATTTAGTTTAAGAGTATGGGATGAAATAAAGAGTCCCCACTGGAAAGATTGATCTTGACCAAATGGGTCTGGTGAAAAGAGATGGGGATACGATTTGTATGATTCAATAGTGAATAACTGTCATCATGACTACTTGCGACTATCACAATTGGAAAGGTAGAAGTTATGTAATAAAAACAGGGGAATGGTTCATCTTACAGTCAAGAAAAGGAGGACCCTAGAACCATCAAGGGAGAAGAGCACAAGCAGAAAATACAGGACCTAATCCAGAGAAGCAGTGATGCTAGAGACGAAGACAGAGATGGGGTCTTGGAGAGTGGGGGGGAGCGGCTGAGGACTCTAAATTCACGGGAAGAGAGGGACTAAGAGCTACTGGTCAGGAAACAGACTGGCACAGTGTGCCCTTTGGAGGTGTAAATTATTATATATGCCTGAGTGTTGTTTTTTTTAAAAAAAAAAAAACTATGAAGTGAATAGAGAGAAATATTGTTAACTAATGGTACATGGATGTAATTATAATTATTGTAATGAAACAAGGTGTATGATTTGTTGAATGTAAAACTGAGCATCTGCCCTGTAAACTTTCACTAAATACACAATAAAAACCTTAAAAAAAAAAAGATAAATATTTTTAAATCTTACCTGAGAAATGTCCTCTGAGGCCATTGTTTGTAAAAGAGCCCTCAAGGCACCACTCACGGCTTCTAAAAACTCAGTATGTTTAGCAAATTCTAAAACACAAAAATGATATATAAGATTTGTCAGTCTCTAAATTATTCTGTACAAAAATAGAGTAAAAGAACAGAGAAATAATAAGTTGCTATGGTAAAAACAACTTTCAATATTTAATCTAAAACTTTCAGCTTGTATTCTCCTATAAACAGAATACTTCAGTTGACATACCTGTACCAGTACCCTTTATATTTGTCTTTTCCAAACTACCATTGCTGTCACATTGACACTGACTCACAGGAATTCAATAGCACAGAGAACTGTCCCATAAAATTTCCAAGGGTGTTACTGGAAACTCTGTACAGGATTGCTATGAGTCGGAACCGACTCCACAGCATGTAACAACAACAATTTCCAAATCAGGCTGTTAACCTCAAGGTCAACAGTTCAAAACTACCAGCTGTTTCGCAGGTGAAAGATGAGGCTTTCTGCTCCCGTAAAGATTTGCAGCCTCGGAAACTCTGTGCAGGGTCACTGAGTCGGAACCAACTCCACGGTATGTAACAACAACAACCATTTCAAAAGCAGAGTGCCCCAAGTTCTCCTGAAAAATAGCTGGTGTGTTTGAACCAGCCACTTTTTTGGTTAGTACTCAAGCATGCAGCCACTGTGCCCCAAGCCTCCTTTTAGTATGTATAGGTAGAAAGATATTTACCTGAATTTTACTAACTACACAAGACATTGTGTGGATCATAAGAAATTATGGATGCATTGCAAAGAATGGGAATTCTAGAACACTTCATTGTTTTCATGCAGAACCTAAACATAGATCAAGTATCAGTCATTAAAATAGAACAAGTTTAAAATCAGGTTTAAAATCAGGAATGATGTACACAGGGTTTTATCCTCTGTGAACAGACAAACAATGACAAGTTGCTAGAAACAAGTTAGCAACTATACTGATTTCTGAGTAATACAATTATTAAAAACTGATCTAAAATTTCTAATATATGCATCTTTAACACATAATATCTCGTTTGAATTTCACAAGATGCAAATCAGATGCTTAAAAAACTGAAGACCAGCTTTAGAATGTTTATAGAGACTTGTATTTAGTCAAATGTAATCATATGTGGATGTTTTAAGAGTTCAACTCTTCCTCAGAATTACCAACCATAAAAGATCAAAAAGGGAGCATTTGCCCAGAGATAAAGTTCATGCAAAAGGAAGGGAAAGGAAAAGATGGATAGAAATGTGAAAAACAGAGGAAGTGGGAAGAGTGCTGTTTCACTGTGAGGATTATAATCAATGTCACAAACAAAATGTATATAAACGGTTGTATGTAAAACTAATTTACAAACTTTTTACCCAAGTATCAATTAAAAAAAAAAAAAATCTTATTTCATATACCTTATGATCCAGCATTTTCTCTACTTGGTATATAACCACAAGAAATATGAGCCATAACATGAGTAGATATATACATACCAATGTTCATAACAACACTATGTATAACAGCAAAAAGATGAAGACCACCTAAGTGCTCATCAATGGAAGAATGGATAAACAAATTGTGATATATACACATGCTAAGTGAAAAGGGAAGAAATGTGGAATTTGTGCAGTATTCTACCATTTTCCTTAACAACATGGACATGCACACTTTCACATCTGTTGATCTCTCTAGAAAACACAAGAGAAACTGGTAACAATGAACTACTTTCAAAGGTGAGTTGAGTGACTTTCCAACTTACATTCTCTAAAGTTATTACTTTTGAATTCTGTACTATACATGTATATTACCCAATCAAATAGATACCAAGTGTTGAAAAATTTGGTAATGAATAGGATGAAAGTTGAATAATCTGATGAACGTAGGTTAATATCAATAAACTGCTCACATGAAGAAATGTTCAAAACACAAATATGTGTTATGCAAGGGGGCTTCAGAAAGTGCGTGAAGGAGCTGCAGTGGGTCAGTTCTGGTGTCCTCTCATCCTGGTCTCCCTTTTCATCTAACTGTGTACTCATCAAGTCCCCTGGCAGGACAATCAGGTGGCCTATATGAACCCAATAGCAATGGCCAGATCAAGGGGTCCAGTCCAGTCTTCAGGACTAACGATACAAGATTATTGGAATGTACCAAGGCCCACCTGGGAAAAAGAGAAAGAGCAACTAGAAAAGAAAAAAAGGGTTTGAAGGCATTGGCTGACTCTGAAGAAAAAAATGAATCAGAACTGGAAGAAAAAACTTAAAAAACACAAGCCCCGGCAAGAGCAACAACGAGCCAGCCACAGCAGAGAAGACTTTAAGAACTGTTTAACCCTTAGGGAACTGGATAAACCCCAGAGACATTCTGCTGCTTTGCTTGTTGGGCGTGGGGAATGGGGAGTTAATAGATGTTACTGATTTTGCAATCGTCCATCAACCATCATAGGATTTATCCCCTGTTAAAGTTTTCAGAAGCTAGGCAAAGCATTGCGGTGCCTGGCCCTCAAACGTGCCATGTGCCTTTGTTCTCAGGTCAAGAATCACTACGCAAACAGGAATTGTTACCTTTTTTTGCCCTGCCCATCATGTAAATCAAATGTCTAGGGACATTAGTCTCGCTCATATGATCCGAGAGTAAATAGACAAAGGCTCACAAAACAGACGAAATGCTTTAGAGAAAGAAGACCGCTTAAGGGAAATAAGACCCAATATATCCAGACTACACTCCCAGCTAAGGTTACTCAAGGTATAAGTAGATTTGTGTTATCTTTCAGTAACCCAGAAATTAATTGGAACTTAATCCAACAGCATTTTAGGAGGTTGTGGAACAATATACACTTGTCTGGGGATATTCATCAGCTACATGCTCAAATTTATGATATAAGTAATTCTCAAAGTGAACACTGAGTGGCTACTAATTTGCTACCCATGCTAGAGAGTAAGATCCCCTAAGAACTTGATTGAACCTCAGCATAGTGATCCTGCTTGGTCACCTTAGAGCAGGTGGTGGGCCGGCAACGTCTGGCGCATGGGGTCTCCAGCTGATCTCCACCCTCCCTGCCTTCCTCGGATGGCAGCTGTTTATGCTGGACGTGTGGCCAGAGACGTGTAAGGATCACGTGGAACCTCGGCTACTTAAGACAGAGCCATTGCCATGCTGCAATGAGTCTCAAAGACTGGTAAGACTGAGGAATTCGCACTGACCACCTAAGACAGGCAGCGTCCCTTAAACAATCAATAAATAAGGAGGATTCAGATGCAGACAGTGCAGACCCGGTCAGGAGGCCAAGCCCCTGAGGGCCCAAGCGTTGTTGACCGTCCAAACCATAGGCTCTGAGGATCAGACTTTAGCTACCTAGTAGACATAGCAAATTGTCCCTCATCTGATTATTCAGTAATGCTTGTTAGTAATCTCATACATGAGCCCTGGATATCCACAGACAAATGTAAAAACCTTCCCTAGAAGCCGAGACTGTAAATTCCAAAAAGGCAAGTCCCCCCTCATCCAAAAAAAAAAAAAAAAGCTAAAGAGGATAGAAAGAAACACTGTAAACTGTAATGAAACAAGCTATATGAATGGTTGAATGTGAAGCTGATGATGTGCCCTGTAAACTTTCACTCAATGCAAAATAAAAACATTTAATTCGAAAAAAAAAAAAAAACACAGGGAGAAACTGTTAAGTGGAAGTGAGAGCTCATCTAAAAAGACAGAAAAAGAAAAAGAAAAGAAGAAATTTGGTAGGTATTCACCTTCTTCATCAAGCTCTGATTCTAGTAGCAGTTCTTTAGATTCTGAAGATGAGGATTGAAGAAGAAGACCGTTCACATAAATCTTCAGAAAGCTCCATGTCCAGACAGTAAGGATAGTTTTAAGTAGAAAAAGAAGTCAAAGGATGCAACTGAGAAAGAAAAGTACCTCAAAGGACTTGGCAAAAAGAAAATGTATTCTGAAGATAAACTTTAATCATCTAAATCCTTGTCAGAATCGAATTATACTGAGGCGCTGTGAGCAAAAAAGAAGAAAAGCAGTGAAGAATGAGAAAAAGCAAAAAAAAAAAAAAAAAGAAAGAAAGAAAGAAAAAGAAATACAAGAAGAAAAAGAAGGCTGTTACTTCAAGTCCTGACTCGCCATAAGCAAGAAAAATCAAGATTCCCTTAAAAAGAAAGTGCCATGTCTAAGGAAATTTCAACTGTGAGAAATATGACATATTCACTGAAATGCACGTGTTTTCTTGTTTTTACAATTATTCCTGGACTTTCAGTAGCCACTCAGATTCGGCTGTGTGAAAGGACCAGAATTGCTGCTTGCCTCTTGAACATCTTTTTTGCCTCTTCCAGCGCTTAACTGCTCTGGGACACAGTACACTGCAATTATACTAGTGGTTCAGATACTTGGGGATAAAGTGGGTATTCTTTACTTGTTATTGTTGTTAAGTACCATTGAGTCGGTTCCAACTCATACTAACCTTGTACGGGGTTTCAAAATAGCAGCTAGTGGACTTGAACTGCCGACCTTGCAGTTTAAACGACTTTGCAGTCCAGTGCATTAACCAAAATATCTAATTATAAATAACAGAAATTGATACTGTACAGATCTTAAACATGTGCTCAGAAATTGCCATATAATTCTAGCTAACATTTTGAACTAGGTATTACACTAATATATCAAACTCTTTGCTCTGCAGATAAATGTATTTTGTTTTATTTTTTCCCTCGTATACTTTTATTTACCAGGGGAAAGAGCTTTTAAGGAGCAGGGAGAGGGTGGTTTGCTTTCTCTTTAGCTAATGGAACAGCGTGCCCTTTGATCCTCACACATCCTATTTTTGTGGATGCAGCAGTCATGCTTCCTGGGGAGGTCGGTGCTGAAAACAAGCAGTCTAGATCTTTACTGAGCTGACTGACATTCTTGGACTCTTGTCTGTGCTGCTTTGGGGGATTCCAAGAAACAACCTTTTGCAGCATGAGAAAGCCCCAAAAGCTCTGGTTTACCTCCACTTAAATAATACTGAATATTTTTTTAGCATTAGAACATGCTATGTCATTTGAATTTGTTTAAGCCAAAAGA